AGCCATGTAGGGATAGGTCTATAGTAGCAATTTTTCCAGTGTGTAGGATTAAAACCATTAAAACCATCATCACTGAAACTGTGCCTTCATACAACTAATAGCAGTAAAGTATCTATGGAATATATTAATACAGCAGTTTCTCTGATTAAAATTATTACTTGGCATTTGGTTGGGAAATTGTTTGAATTATATAGGTAAGTGAGTCAACATCATTTACGAGGCTTAATTAATGGATTTATAGTCCTGATGTGGCGCTGTGGGCTAATGCGTCAGACTGCAGAGTCGTTTGAACTGCAAGGTCGGTGGTTCAAGCTCACCAGCTGCTCCTTGGAAACCCTATACAGGGTTGCTATGGGTTGGAATCGACTCGACAACACTTAACAACAACAACAATGTGACATAGACTCGATGGCACCTAACAACAACAACAATGTGACATAGGTTTAGTTTTAAAAACCCACGTAATGTATTTGTACTTGGCAAACCTTTGCAATAAATCATTGGCAGATTGAAATTGTCCTGTGTCTATACTGTTAATAAAACAAAACAAAAACAAAAAACTCAACTGCCACAGTAGTTACAACTGCTTGAGAAGGTAGACAAAAATGTAGTTCACCCTGAAAATAGTCATGGCTTAGGGAATAAAGAAACTGGGTCAAGCCTAAAATAAATGCAGGTACAATGACAAAAACTTTTAATAAAAAAATTAAAATATTCACAGCATTAGTTTCAGGCTAGTTTTGTTCTCGGTGATCCTATCAGTGTATTATTAATTTTTACATTCAGGGACGCTAATGGCAGTTTTTCTCTTTAGTCAAAGTGTTTGTATAAAATACTATTGATTTTTGCTTTGTCTTTGTTTTTAATTATAAATATAACTTTTGGAAAGTCATATAATTCTTAAATAGATCGGTTTGACCTTTTGTGGTCTTAAGTAGAATTTCACATGATGTAAAATTTCTATGTATTTGACTTATTTTACATTGCCAAATTTAATGTTTAGCTTTTAACCATGTATCATTAAATCATAGTATTGATAATGAATTAAACTTTCATAAAGCTTTAATAGTACAGTAGATTCTCATTCATTAGGTATCACTGGGGAATAAAATGTGCTGAAGAAATGAGTCCTTTTTTTAACTAAAGCTTAACTTGTTTAAGGGGGGGGAAAAAACCCTGTAAAAAGTGATACAATTTATATGGTTTTTGAGTGAGCAAGAATAGATTAACCATTTAACTCTTTTTGTCATATATCATCATCATCCTTGTGTAATGCAGAAAGGACACAGAGCTTTCTAAAGACCGATATTTGTTCCCCAACATAAAGATCTTTTTGTTGTTTCTTCCTAAAGAATAAAATGTCACACCCTTAATTGTGATGTACTTAATAAATATGAATGGTTCAAGGCTTAATGTCTCTGGTGGTAACTTGTAACAGATTCACAAACTCAAGCAACCACACAAGAGACATTAGCTCTATGTCATATTATTAGCTACTTTTGTGAAGACATGTGCATACAGCCTCTTGCCATAAAGGAGACTGTCTTTTCTCTAGAAGTTAGCATTTTCAATCTTGAGGCCCTGTTACTGCTACTTCTGATACTTACACCTCAGTAGCCATGGCTTGTGGGACAAAAATGCTTGTACAGCATTTTCCTTGAGTGCTTGTGAGCATCTGTGGCATCTGAATGACCACCTGAAGTGTCCTCTGGATTTCTGGTGGGGCACTGTAGGGTCAGTACTGGACTGCTAACTACAAGGTCGGACATTCAAACCCATTCCTTGGAAACCCTATACTAGGTCTCTGTGTGTTGGAACCGACTCCAGAACACTTAACAACAACTGATGAAATAAATGGGTAGATCACTGCACTTTCTTTATATTTTAGCAAAGTCCACCAAAGCAACAAAAATCCTTTCTAACAAAGTAGGTTTTTTTTTCAGTTTCATGCTTGCTTATTTGTTTCGAGCAGTGCTTTCTAAAAGAAAACTCAAGCACAGTGAAAAAATATTTGAGCCATCCTTTTATGTACTGTTAGGACATTTGGTTTGAATCTTCTATTTAAAATCAGCTTCCCCCCTTTTACTTGAATCTAATGGGAATCATCTTTCTTCCAGGTTGCGCTTCAAGGAGACTACGGGGAAGAACACATTTTCTTCTTGCCACAAAAGTTGCAATAGAAGTAAGTGAGGAGCTGCCAGGATATGTCTGTCTCCACAAAACAAGCAGAACAAATTTCCATGAATCAAAGCCACTAAGTATAGTTTTCAGAGATGGTAGGACATAGTTACTTTCCCTAGAAAAATACCCAAAGTACAGGCACACCCATTGGCCACCAGGAAAATGCCCAAGTAAACGCTAGTTCAAACCTGTCCATTCTGCTCTTCTCACTGAGCTATTAAAGGGGTGGGTATGTACGGTAGCTATAATCTTTTCTTTTTTTTCCCTCTTTTCTATTTTTTGACCTCCCACATGCTTAGTGTTCAGTTCTGCTTAGTGCATGTATTTACTCCGTAGTAGCACCTACACGTACTGCCACCACAGTGGCTGATGGTGTTCTGATAACTCGTGATTCAGACACAAATGAAACAGCTGTAAAATACATGGTACCTGCTCTAGGTTAATCATGGAAAAAGGTGGAGTAATGAGGAATCAGAAAGCAGGTTTTCCCCTAACATTGACGTTACTTTGAGGTTTCACGGGTGAACTGTTTTTTTTTTTAGAATGGTTTATAACATATTCCATCAATTAGTAAAGCATCTCAGGTCATGTTTACTTGAGCCTTTTGGATACACCTTAGCAAGATTACGTGAGAGGAAATAAAGCAAGATTGTAGATATCTGTGGTATGACCCAGTAAGCAAATCAATGTTAAACTTCATTTTATACTGTCTCTGGTAAAATTTTTGGTATAGTTTTCAGAAATGCCTTGTATTAATTTCTCCGTTACTTTCTAGAAGTTTCCATCCTTTGAGTGATTAATGGTTACCACTTTGTTGAATCTGGAGGGAGTTTAGCTTATTGAACACCCCACTATTACAGCAGAAGTCTCCAGCTTGCCTGAAAAAATTGAGTTCTGCATAGCTCAATTGCTCAGCTCACTCCCTACCCACAAAGCCTGTAGGACTCTCACATTCATATTTGAAATGTGAGCTGCTGATGTGGATACATTTCACATGCATGTATACATGCCCCCTTGCCATGTCACGATCTTTCTGGCGGATAGGAGCTTGTGGTTGAAAATAACCATGTCTAAATGCTGGAAGACTCCACAGTATCTTTTTTCCGTAGCTGGGTGATTTAAACTACTAAAGAGAGGGGATAAAAACTTTCCTGCTATGTATAAGCTACTATGCTTCACATGCATTATCTTATTTTTATCTTCACAATGTGCTTCTGAAATGAGTACTGTTATCCGTGTGTTAAAGGAGAAGACCTTGGGTCCTACAAAGTTAGGAAATTTGTCCAGTCATATGCAGCTATTAAGCGACAGAACTAAGGTTCAAACTCAGATAATCCTGACTCCAGAACTTATGCCTTTCTACCAAAGAAATACTGCCTCTTATTTTGCATAGAAGTGATATATATATATATAGTATGTATATTTATAATACATATTTTTTCCCAAAAAACATGTACATTAGAAGACTCAGATATCAAGAGACAAGCTTTTTCAGTTCAATCATTTCTTTGAGAGCCACTTGAGACTTTTTGGTGTGAAATGCAATGTCAGCAGGCATTGTGTTGATTGAGCAAGGTGAAGTGCTGTTTTATTAGTGAAGAACCTTATTGAGTTGTTGAGACTACTAATTTTTGTGGGAAGACGTTATTAAGAAAAGCAATATGCTGTTTGGTAAGTGGTACTTGCTTCAGTCACAAAGGAAAATCCAAACATGTGGAACATTAACAACATAATAGTTATACATAGAGTGATATTTCTCGCTTATTTTCTACAGGTAATAGCATATCATTTGAACTGCATATTGATGTTTTACATTAATACATATATTTTATTTCACTGAGTGAATTTAAACTAAAATCAAAGCATTGAAACAAAAAATTGCTTGACAGCCAGTTCTTCTATGATGAGTTTCAGAATGCTTTTAATAACCCGTTATTGCTACTTTATCCCTCTCCACGTACATATCTTCATCTCCACTTTTTTATGTTTTCTGGGGGGTTGTATTGGTCATAGTGTGGAAATAGTCCAGGTGCAGTGGTATGGTGTCCCAAGAACTAGTGTTCTAAGAGTTTCAACACTAGAGAACTGAGACTTAACTCCTTCACCAGTGCGGGAAAATGATTTGAGTGCAGTTTCTTTTACATAAGGGAATCACTGAGGCAGTGTTAGCTGGTGACCTGGGAAGGATCTTACAAATGAAGGACTCTTGGACTGGAAGTTTTACAAGGTGAGCTTAGTGAATGTTCAAGATTTGAGTGGTAGGTGAAACAGGCTGGAGGTTGCTGCGTCAAGATGGCAGCTGTTCCTCCTGGGAAGTGGATGATTGCAGAAGAAAAAGGCTTGAGACTTCCTGGACTAGAGAAACAGTGGAGTCATAGTAGAATTAATCTTAGGACATGAAGAAAACAGAAATTAGACAAACTCTTATTAACATGGATGATATAAAACATAATGAATATAAAAACAGAAACATTAGATGTTGTGTTGTTGGTATTAAGTGCCGTCAAGTTGGTTCAGACTCATAGCTACCCTTGTAGGGTTTCCGAGGAACACCTCATGTGTTTGAACTGCTGACTTTATAGTTTGCAGTCTAGTGCTGATCCTATAAGAATCCAATGTTACATGCTTTTAAAAAGTATGGTAAGCAGATTAAAGAAATAAAATGTGATTATAAATGATCTGTGTTCTCTTTCTCAGTGTAAAATTTAAATATTTGAAAAATACATACACACACATGTATGTATGTGGACTTGAAAAAAAAGCTTTTTTTTTTTTTTTTCCCTTTGTTAACTAGAATCTGGCAAGGTTTGAAAGGGCTAATGAGTATTCTCATCATTGAAGCGTTCTATGGAGGGTCCCATAAACAGCTGGCGGATCTGCTCCAAGAAGAGCTAGAAGACTGTGTCCTTTATACCCTTCCTGCAAAGAAATGGCACTGGAGAGCCCGGACATCAGCTCTGTATTTCTCTCAGAATGTTCCTATCAGTGAACGTTACAGGTAATTAGAACCTAGGCTGCATCTTCACCTTGTCGTTACTGTACCTGTTACCAATGTGTAACCCCACTAACTATGGAATTGATCATTTGTCCATGAAATCTATTCCTTAAGAGATAGCAAAGCATCAAAGTAGTGAAGTGACCTCATTTAGAACCTATATCCCTTTCTCATTTGTTTTGTGATTTTTATCATGTGCGTGTGAGTGAGATTTTTAGGCCTGAGAAGGAAATTGATGTTGAGCGCATTGATTTATCTGTTTCCAAGACCACCAATTCCTCTTTTAGTAAGCATGCTGGTTCAGTTTAGTTTATTGTGTCTGCTTGGGACTAGAACCTAGGATTGAGAAGGTAGCTTTGGCTAAGATCTGTGCCCTCACAGGACTCAAAGATTATTAAGGTGGGATAGAAATGCAAGTCAAATAAGAGTGTGAAAGAATTGGATTCTGACTGTGAGTAATTGAAGAGGTCTTTATAGAGCTGGTGACCTTTAACATGTTCTTAAAGGATGAGTAGATCTGGGGAGAGACAGACTTCAGTTCAGAATACAGATTTGTGAGGAAATGGGAACCCATCAGGTTGAGTCATTAGAAAGAGTCATACTGGACACTGAAAAGTTAAATGAGAAATACTGACTCTACATTTTTCAGGAGAACAAGTAGAATCTAGTCCCTCCATCTCCCATTGAGGCTTCTTCGTCCGTATTCTCTAGTCATGTGCATTTCCTTGTGTCTCCTGCTTGTGAAAGCATGGAAGATTACTCTACTGTGGTTTGCATGCCTGCTGTGCTTTCTATTCTGGGCCCTGCTGTGTAGGATTGGTTTAGGCAGGAGTGAGGAGTGCCAGGCTGGTAGTTAATGGAGTTCGAGCAGACAGGTTGTTAGAGGAAGGGCATGCTACAAGCTTCAGTGCCCACCTTGGCTTCAGCAGCTATACCCATCTGCTGCTTCTAAGGTGGAGCAGCCACTAGGGAGAGAGCAGCTCGTGATTTAAATGTTCTTAGTAGTAATTTGAGGGATTCTGAGAAAAAAACCATTTGGTGTATGAAAACTATGCCTTGTGTCTAAGAGTTCAGATTGTCAGATGGAATAGAAGTGAGAACTTAAGTCACGCTGCTTGGGATTTTACAGGTAAAAGGCTGTTTTGGTGTTTGTTTAAAATTTTATATTTTTAAAATATAAAGTCTATCTTTTCTTCCATAATTTAATGTTTTAGATTTTGATATCAACAAGTGAATATTATTAATTCACCGATACTAGAAGAAATTTTAATGACATTATCAATATGGAATTTTGAAAGTCAGTGATAGACTGCTGCTACGCTAACCTCTGACTTTCCTGCCTTGCTTTCCTGTCTCCTGTGATTGTGTTTTCTAAGCACCAAGCTTATATGATTATTTAAAATCAGGTAATGCAGTTGACTTCATGGTACAGTTCCATGTGACATTTACCATTTGATATAATAAATCTCTAGTTATTTGAACGTTGAAATGAACCTTTTCTCTGACTGCTGCTTGATTTCACTTTGATGATACACTTTTTCAGAATTATTTTCTGTATGAGAGCTGTATAATTGGAGATGGCATGCAAGCAAACACTTCTAGGCATTTGTCTCCCCACCTTCCTGAGGGCTCAAGCATTTGAGGATAACTATCATATTGCTCTTTGAAGCAGTCTTATTTGAGAGGTGGCTTTTGGGAAGACCATGATGTAAAGTTTTCCTTTCTGCTAGCCATAACTTTAAGTGCCGCATGGTGGTATCGGTGATTTCTCAAGTCAGCCAGCCATTTGAACTGTATAGTGAACTCTTCACCCAGAGACACACCTTACCAGTTTTTTTTTTTTTTTTTTGTGAAATCTTTGTATTTGATTAATGATAAGGTATTTATTCTTTACCAAGTAACTTTTTCAAATGCTTTTGGAAAAATAATAGTAATTTCAAAGCTCTCCATAAGTTCAAAATATGCTCTCTCAATCCTCATTTGAAGTATAAGAATAACCTTCGGTTACACTAGCTAAATATGATTTCTGTAGAGACATTTAAAATATATTAAAACAGTTTTTGCTTTCCAATTAATTATTCTACATATACTTTTAACAGATATAACCATCCGAATTCATAAATGTAATACAACAAAGCACCTATAGTACCTACCATGCAAATTATTCCAAACAAGTAGGAGCGTGTCTGAAGAAAATGACTTGGAATGTAGGCTCATCCATTACTTTTCACAACTTTTGTACATGTAGTTGTTATTGTTATGTATTGGTTATATGGAAATAATTTTTTTTTTAAATTAAGTGCTTTAAGCTGATTAATCAGTTTGAATCTATTCTATTTTGTCATCTAAATGATTCACATTAGAGCTGCTGTGTTTTATTATAGATTACAAAAGCTTGACAAGTTCTGTTTCTCAAAGTACTGAGTAGTTATTGTCATTCTTATGTGGAATTAAAGCTCCGCTTTCTGGAAACTTCACAAGGTGTAGAATAAAGCATGAAGGAAGACCTTAAATATTGTATTCTGAAGCACATGAATCATTTGTCCCAGGATCAGACATTTCTATTACTTTCTTTGCATATACCTTAGTCTAGATACCAAGTATATTTCATTATTTTTTCTTTTTGCAGTATCTTTATTGAACTGAAAGAGTCACTATTATGTAAAATCATTTTTCACCCTCAGCTGCATACAGTGACACTTTTTGTTCCATCAGGTATTATGGCATATACTGAGCACTGTCCCCTTCACAGCCCTTCTTCCTGTTAGCAGAATCACCTAATCCCTGGAAATGATGCATAACTGACTAACTGGGTCACGATGATCCCATTCTTCTTTGCCACATTCTCTTTTCCCAACTTTCCTGGCAGCTGGGGTTGGTCAAAGGAATCCTGATTGTTCAACATTTAAACTCTCAGCTGCTAACTGTAAGGTTGTTGTTGTTAGTGCCATTGAGTCGGTTCTGGCTCATAGCGAACCTATGTAGGGTTTCCAAGGAGGAGCTGGTCAATTTGAACTGCTGATCAAATTCAAACCTTGTGGTTCAAACCGATCTTGTGGTCCAGCGCTTTATCCCACAGCGCCACACCAGGACTCCCAGTGGTTCAGTGGGAAAAAGGCCTGGCTGTCTGCTTTTGTGGGACCGTGGTGGCTCTGTAGGAAAAGTACTCAACTACCAACCACACAGTCAGCAGTTTGAGCCTACCACAGTCAGATGAGGCTTTCTGCTTCTGCAGACACTTACAGCCTCAGAAATTCTGCTCTTGCAGAGACTTACAGCCTCAGAAATTCTATGCATAGTCGCTATGAGTCAGAACCAATTCAATAGCACTTAACAACAGTAACACTATTTGCTTCTGTAAACATGACAGCCAGGAAAATCTTATGGGGCAGTTATACTCCATCACATGTGCTTGCTGTCAGTTGTAATTGACTCAGCATTACAACTCAGCACTCAAGCGGTCAGATCACCAACTTCTGGCAAACCAGAATTAAGTGGAAGATTTCTGAGAGCCCTGGGAAAGTGCCACTTCCTCCCCTTAAAAAAACGGAGAGAGTGTCATTTGAGGAAAAAAGAAAAATTTTTTTTTCCTTTTCCTGCTCCCTAAACCTTGCAGAGGAGCTCCTGGTAGTGTAGTTGTTACAAATCGGGCTGCTAACCTCAGGGTTAGCAGTTCGAAACTACCAGCTGTTCTGTGGGAGAAACATGAGGCTTTCTGCTCCCGTAAAGATTTACACCTTTGGAAACCCTTTACAGGGTCGCTATGAATTGGAACCGACTCCATAGCACATAACAACAACAACAAACCTTGCAATACCCCTACCTGCTTCTGAATGTCATTGTGATGTCTGAAGCCAAGAGGGGATGGTGGTGGTTATGTGCTGTGGAGAGGGTTCCAACTCATAGTAACCCTAGGGACAAAACTTACATTGGCAAATATGGCTGATGGAAAGTTGGAAGGAGACTAGATTTGACTTCTGTTTTGAAATAATATAGCTACCTTGTTAAGTACCATCAAATTGGCTCTGATGCAGTGACCCTGTGTTGGGTTTCCAGGAGTGACTGATGGGTTTGAACCACCGGCCTTGTGGTTAGCAGTCCAGTGCTTATCTAACAGAACCACACCCTGTTGTGTGTTGGGTTTCTAGGAATGACTGATGGGTTTGAACCACTGGCCTTGTGGTTAGCAGTCCAGTGCTTATCTAACAGAACCACATCCTGTTGTTGTTGTTGAGTTCCATCGCATCAGTTCTGACTCATATCGACTCTGTATAGGGTTTTCAAGGAGCTACTAGTAGGTTTGAACCATATTCTCGTGGTTCAAATTGGCCTTGCGGTCCAGTGACTATTCTACAGCGCCAAATGAAGCCTCCTGGTAGCGTAGTAGATTATGAGCTGGCCTACTAACTACAAGGTCAGTAGTTCAAATCTATCAGCTGCTCCATGGGAAAAAGATGAGGCTTTCTGCTCCGGTAAAGATTTACAGTCTTGGAAACCCTATACAGGATCACTGTGAGTCAGAACCAACTTGGTGGCACACAACAACCAAACACCGCACCCTAGTTACCTGAAAAACTCCTTGTCTCTAAAACATTTAGAAAGACTTCATAAACTATACCAGACTTACATTTAAGTCCATAGTAAAGTAAAGAGGGATCTGGAAATTAGAGTGGCAATTAGATTTTGATGGTATGACTGCCTAATTTTTAAAGAGCAAATTGACTGAATAAATCATTTTACTTTCTTAAAATATAGTACAGTTGTAAATAAGGAACTCTGGGGTAGTGTAGCAGTTACTATCGGGCTGTGAGCTGCAAGGTCAGCAGTTCGAAACTACCAGCTGTTCCGCTGGAGAAATATGAGGCTTTCTCCTCCCATAAAGATTTACAGCCTCAGAAACGCTGTACAGGGTCACTATGAGTCGGAACCGACTCCACAGCACATAACAACAACAACAAAAACAGTTGTAAATGGAATGCAGAGAGCTGGTATGGTGATGAAGG